GTTCTGTCGAAGAATTAGCGCACTTACTGTAGTTGCTCGCGAATATATTAATAGCTCGCATACATAGACTCCTTATTGGAGTTCATGTATGCGAGGCTTCTGCAGTCCAGCACATTTTTCTACAAACACAATGTAAGGCAAGCTCAGGCTTTTTTGTCACCTTGTTTTCGTTCTTTGATCATACTACTCGCTTATTTACCTTCGCTTCCTCTTTTACTCCTTTGTTTCGCTCCTTTCCCAGATATACTAGTTGTTCGTTGTTGCTTTTCTGTGTCAAATTCGCCTTCTAGTTCCAGTTGTAACGTGGTTCCTTTCGAACTTGAATTTATGAATGCTATGCTCTTCTCATTGTGTTGTACTGATGCGTAACCATTTGCCCCTCTCTTGCCTAATTTCTACTCGAAAATTGGTAATTCGTGAACTACTTTCAGCTTTTTTGGCTTGTAAATAATTTCATGTAAAGACTCAATTAATAGAAATTTCAAGGAGTTTCTTACTTTAGCCCTTATGTCGTAAGCAAAGAAGAAAGTCTGACTTTTGAGGAGGCTCAACAATCCAGGCTGTCATTAGTTGTCAAAATGAGGCACAGTGTTTTCTTAAATGATTTGGTATTTGGAACATCTGGCTGAGGATATCTCTGGCGCTGATTTACTATCTACTGATTTGAATTCAGCTAGCTTGGTTTTTTCTTACTTTTGTTTTACCGATATACGCCATATCTATAAGGAGAGGCCTATAAACAGCCATTTTCAAATCCATCTTCAAATTTGCTTTTTGCTTATCTCTTGTTTAGGGGATCCGATCCGATCCGTGACACAATGGTTATGTTATTCGTTATGCATGAGGTTCAATACAACCTGACATAAACGTGACAGAAAGCAGAAACGGTTTATTCTCAAGATTTTTTTCTTTTCCATGCAGTGGTCTAACGGGATAGTTCCCTACACTGAGTAACTATTAGAGTATGCTTAGACTTCTAGTATGTCCAATTGATGCTCTAAGAATTAGAAAGTCATCTAGTTCTAAATGCAGCATTCAGGGAAATCTCTGTTTTCCAATTTTCCATATTTTATAACCATTTCAGTCTGCTGAATCAACATAAGTACCGCGAAATTGTCCAATAAAACAAAGGACATTTTGTGCTCTGATTGAAAAACATTGATGCTCTCCTCGCTAGAGAGTTATTTAAAACATCAAAAAATTTTCAATGAACGAATATCGAATAGTCGTCCGTAATAAAAAATATTTGAACGAATGAATATTATTCGAATCGCCATTTGATATATATTCGAGTTGCAATATTCAAATAGTGAGAATCTTTATATCCGACTATTCGAATTATCGAACAATTGGGCAAGACCGAATATTCGAATATTCCACAAACGGAATTAGTGCGTTTCATCGATTATTCGACTATTCGAATGACAAAAATCAAATTATTCGAATATATTAGTTAAACATAATTACGCAATCGCATTCATATTCGATAATTTTGCAGTCGATCGAACAAATATTCGACGATTTTGTAGACGTTTGAACGATTGGATATTACTCGAATCTCAATTTCAAAATCATTCGAACTCGAATGTTCGAATATCGATGTTACGGAATATTCGCTATTGGAATAATCGAATAAATGCGCCTCTTCGAATATTCGAATGTCGAATATTCCAATCATTTGAAATTTGGATATTTTATTCGAATATGATTATTTGGTCGCAAATATACTAGACTGCTTTTGAGAGAAGAAAATCCGGCTGCTGGAAGGTAAAATCGCTGAAAGGGCGGGTTGACTTACGCCGAAGCGAATTTCTCGTTAACCCGGCGAAGCACCTGAATTTGTGAATTCAGATACAGAGAGCCAGCCATCGTTATAGCTGAACTAATCTTTAATTTTGTTAAGTCAGTCAGACTCAAAATGTAGTCATTGGATGTATTAATTCAGACGATTACACACTCATGTTTATCTGTTCGGGTTTTGCTCGAAAGCCAAAGACTATGGGAAAAGGACTCAGCACAACTTCACAATAGAATTTGTAATAGCGAATACGCGTTTCATAATAAAATTGACCCCACATCGCAGTTTGATAATAAGCTTAGAAACTAAACTTATGATCCAAATTATACGATATTGAAACTGAAATGGAGGGAGTGACGACAATCGTGAATGAAATAGTAAAAACTTTATAATGCGTTTCAGGGTTATCTTGCAAATTCCTAGAACGCAGATGCACTATCCTACGGATTGGGGAAGGAAAGACAGAACAGGAAGAGACTTCCATTTTAAAAAGTTAGGCTATGGTAAGTAGAAGTAAAAGGGCGTGGCTTCATATACTTCTAACTTCTGTTTCCAATTTTGCGTTGAAGGAAGTTATACGTGGTCAAATAAGACCTTTTCTGGATTCTTTGTGTAGTTGCTGTCATGCCGTAGTTGTGTAGGTGCCTAACATTTGTGATATATTCTAAGAGGTGCTAAAGGTCACCCTTATGGAATCTGAATCATCTCGACTTGTATATCATTGAAAAAAGTTTGGGCAAAGCAAGGTCAATTTCATTGATGGGGCTTCCATCCTATTCCTAGCAAATTCAAAGTTTTCTTGAAGCAGAGTCATGTTACACCATTATTTCTAAACTTTTGATCGAAAAGCAGTCTTGGACAAACGTTTTTCTAGAGGATATTTCTGACTGAAATGGACCTTTATTTCATTTACAAGCTGCGAAGTATTGGAGAGAAAAAAATTTAAAATCGATTCTTGTCCTGCAAAAATTTAATCTTTTCATAGCGAATTAGATAGTTTAGAAGAAAATGCACCCACTTTAAGAAGTTCGTCTTAACTAAACAAATGCATAATTTACTGAGACTCAAAATAATCCTAAGAACAGTATCATAAACAGTATTTCCAACACTTATTGAATTTGTTTTAGTGCTCCTGTACATCCTATGCCCTCGTACGTGCTCAGTATCTCCATTGGAATTTGAAGTTTGGTCATCGCTCGCTATTCGCCTCATAGAAATTCCTTCTTTCTTTTTTCCCTTAATTGCGAAACAAGTGAGCACCGAATCCTTCGGATTGGATGTTTGTAATTTTGAAAGCAGTGCTTCAAAAAAAACTTTATTATATCCGCAGTGGGTGGTCAGCCCACTGCTTATTTTCGTGTTTTGTATTATACTGTAGTGTTGTGCTGTGGTCTATCGTGGATCTGGGTGAGCTGACATTCTTAGCAAAGCTTACAACTCTTGCCGCAATAACTCTTTCTTTGCTCCATAGTATAGAAGGTATTCGAGCAAAAACCATTTTGAACCCATGAAGCACAGCTGTAATTAATCAAATCAAAGCAAGTTGTAAAATGGAAATTTGAAAAAGCCGTACTTTGCGTTGCTATCCACGGCGCTGGCACATGATTTCTCCGGAGCTGCAAATTAAAATAGCTGAGACTTGAAATTCTTTATATTTTCAAATTCCAGCCAACGCGCTTACCTGGTGTAGCAACAGTCAGTGCAGAGGCCGGGGCTGTAGTGGAGGTTGGGCAATACCCGCAAGTGCGCTGACAGTTTGCCTGAATATACAGATATTTTAATGCAGATTAACTAAGTCCCCTTTTCTTAAGATATTTTCCATCCTAGATTATCGAAAAATGTTAAAAAATTCAAGGACCTTCACGAAATCCTGCATCTCAATATTTCTGCAAATGGATGGGTCATTGGCGCATTCAATCTCTG